TGTGTTGTGAGTTTCTGGTTAAAATGACAAGATTATATTTATTCTTGGTGTTTCCCTTCCTCTTATCTTTAATGTTATACTTAGCCTTTGCTAACCTGTTCTGATGGAGAGCTGCAACTTTCTGATTTTGTCTTTCTACTTATCTCCTTTGCTCTGGGTTTTGTAGCCCCTTTCCTTTTTTTGATTTTTCAGCTATGAGGGTCTTCCTGAGCATTTCTTGTGGCAATGAATTCCCTTAACTTTCGTTTATCTGGGAAAGTTTTTATTTCTCCATATTTGAAGGATATTTTCGCTGGATAGAGTATTCTTGGCTGCATTTTTTGTCCTTCAGAGTTTTGAATATATCACTCCACTCTCTTCTGGCCTGTGAGGTATCTGCTGAGAAATGTGCTGACAGCCTTATCGGGGTTTCTTTGTAGGTTATTTCTTCTGCCTTCCTGCCCTTAGTATTTTCTCTTTGTCATTGACTTTTGCAAGCTTCACTACTATATGCCTTGGGGTTGGTCTTTTTACATCAATAAAATTTGGAGATCTATTGGCTTCTGTCACGTAGAGTTCCATCTCTCTCCCAAGGTTTGGGAAGTTTCAGCCATTATTTCTTTGAACAGGCTTTTTGCCCCCTTCTCCTTCTCTTCTCCCTCAGGTATACCTATGATCCTTATGTTGCATTTCCTAATTGAGTCGGATAATTCTCAGAGAGTTTCTTCATTTCTTTTTAGTCTTAGTTCTCTCTCCTCCTCTGTCTGCAGCATTTCTATATTCCTGTCCTCCAAATTGCTAATTCTGTCCTCCAAATTATCGACCCTACTGTTCAAAGAGTCCAGATTTTTCTTAATCTCCTCCATTGTGTTCTTCATCTCCAATATTTCCGATTGGTTCTTCTTTATAGTATCAAGCTCTTTTGTGACATAGCTCCTGAACTCATTGAGTTATCTATCTGTATTGTCTTTTAACTCATTGAGTTTTTTAATGATGGCTGTTTTGAATTCATTGTCATTTATGTTATAGATTTCATTGTCTTTGGGATTGTTTTCTGGGTACTTGTCATTTTCTTTCTGTTCTGGAGATTTAATATATTTTTTTCATACTGCTTGATGGCGTGGATTTGTGCCTCCGCATAGAGATAGAGTTTGGTTACTGCTTCTACTTGCTACTGCTGGAGTGGCGGGGGTGGGGGGGGGGACAGCTGTTTAATCTACACTGACCAGGATCCCTGTCAGCTGTTGCTGACCGGACCTGGGCCCCTCCTCGTAGTCACAGTGGTCCTGTGAGGTCTCTCGTCAGCTGTGGGGACAATCACAAGGGGGCCTCAGGTTGCTGGTGCCTACTGTCGCAGACCACCTAGACACGCTCCCTCCTTAGGGTCTGCAGGAGTGTTATTGGCTTTCACAGCGGCTGGGAGCAGGTTCACCTAGATTCGCAGCTCTGTCACTGTCAGGGCCCGCAAAATCTCACTTGTCCACTATGGGCCACAGCAGAGCTATGGGTATCTTCTGCAGTATGTGGTTGGCTCACCCAGCTGTGCTACTTCTGCCTCAGGGCCTTCCAGCCTTGTGATTGCCAGGCAGGGCCTCTCCACTAATGCTGCCCAGAGGCTTTCACTGTGGCTGCTGTGAGACTGTGGATTTTCCCCCTGGACCACCAAGCAGGCCTGCTGGGACCCCAGCCTGCCACTACCCACTCACACTGGCTCACTGGGTGACCCTTGCCCCCTCTGGGCGACAGCAGGAGACCATGAATCAGAAGCGGCTGGCAGGCTGCTGCCCCACCCATGATCCTCCTGCCCCGGGGCCTCCCAGCATTCTGAATGCTGGGGAGGGCCTCTCCACTAATGCTGAGTAGAGGCTTTGTCTGCAGCTGCTGTGGGACTGTGAATTTTCCCCGTGGACCGCTGAGCAGAGCCGCTGGGGTCCAGCCTGCCCCTGCCCATTCACATGGGCTCACTGGATGTCCCCTGCCCCCTCTGGGACACTGCTGGAGTCCGTGAGACAGAGGTGGCTAGCGGGCTGCTGCCCTGCCTGGGATCCTCCTGTCCCAGAGCCTCCCAGTGTTCTGAATGCTGAGTGGGGCCTCTCCGCTAATGCCGAGTAGAGGCTTTCCCTTCTGCTGCTGTGGGACCGTGGATTTTCCCACTGGGCTTAGGGGCAATTGTGGGGCACTTAGGTAGGGCTGTAGTCACCTGTTCCTACTGTCGCTCCACTGATGTGCACACACGCCCGCCCTTGGTGTGTGGCAATGCTATGAGCATGTGCACTGGAAGAAAGTTGCTTGCAGGTACTAGGCTGTCTAGGGGTCAGGGGTCAGAGAGTTTTCACCTACTCCACCTTCTCCTGGGGGGATGTCCGTCTACCTTCCGATGTGTAGCAGCATGGGTCTCTCAGGCATCCTGAGATGCTGTGTGGATATCCTTTGTTGACCGATGAATGTCCAATTAGTTGTATATTCAAAGGGGGAGAGACAAAGAAAACTGCTCACTTCGCCATGTTGCTGATGTCACTCCCGGGTTGTATATGTTTTACGTTTGTTGATTCCTGTGACCACCACTGCAATCAGATACAGAAATCCTCCTTGACAGTAACACCCCCCATCCTATCCCTGCCTCCTGGCTACTCTGTATATAATTTTGTCATTATAAATTGGATCTTCAACAAAGAAGGCAGTCTCAGAACCTTGGTGGAGAGGATGTACCAGATACTCTTAAATAGGAGTCAATGAGGGCCAGCCCCAGTGGCCTAGTGGTTAAGTTTGGTGTGCTCCACTTTGGCAACCTGGGTTCGGTTCCCAGGAGCAGACCTACACCACTCCTCTGTCAGTGGCCGTGCTGTGATGGTGGCTCACATACAAAATAGAGGAAGACTGGTAACGGATGGTAAGACAAATCTTCCTCAGCAGGAAAAAAAAAAAAGAAATAGGAGTTGATAAACTACAGCCTGTGACCCCTTTTTGTACTGCCTGTGAGCTAAGGAATGGTTTTTAGATTTAAAAAAAGAAAAAGATGACTATGCAACAGAGTTCATATGTGGCCCACAAATCCTAAAATATTTACTCTCTTGCCTTTTACAGAAAAAGTTTGTTGACCCCTGCTCTTAAATAATAGATTCCAGTTGTTTAGGCTGATCCTGCTTAGACAGATGCCAGACTGTATTGGGGACCAAGTTAGGATTTATAAGACTTTTTAGTCCAGAGTCAGATGCTTTCGTGAAAATAGAGTGCTAACCTGTGATCTAGGATAATCAGAATTAATTACACAGGACTGAATAAACTGGAGAGAATCTAATTGTGATTATTTTTTTCAGAATATTGTTGGTATTATTTTTTTGATGGTTATATGATACAGCTCTTTACCTTTCTTTGACCTTTAATTTAGTAGAATATACTTTTGCAAATTGAAATTTGCAAACTGCAAATTGATATGGTCTTTAAATGGCAGTTGGCTCTCATTGATCCCTTAGAGTTTAGAAACAAATGCCTTTTACTCAAGTTTTTGTTTTGTTTTTTTTTTACTGCTAATGGCAATGTGTATATTTACATAGGTTCAATAAGAATTTGTCCTTTCTTTTACTAGGATACAATTAAGCAAATTGATTGTGTCACCAAGGTCAAACCTGTAGTGTCGTGTTTGAGAATAAATCTCATTTAATTAGCTATGACAAGCTCACTGTAAGGAACCAAGGTTGTACTTCGTATGTAGAACTGTTGTCCACACAGCTCTCCTGAGCACCCGGCCTTCTACCTATTCTGTGGCATGTAGGATCCTAGCCTACCTGTAGGAAGGGATGGTCACTTCCTGCAGATTTGAATGACTTGAAGTAGAGAGGAATTTTCCTACATTTATAGATGTGTCACAGATAAGACTGGTAGTGATCATTTTTTTTTGGTTTGGTTTCATAGTTATGAATTAGGAGAAAAAAATAATTTTTAAATTTCTCAAGTAATAGACTGTTGAAAATAAAATTCCAAATTTTGTATGAATTCTCCAGGCAGCAGTGAAGTTTATTGCTTTAGTAATTGCTTAATACCATGTGGCTCTAGATTTGCTGACTATAGTACAAGGAGGTTTATATATATTAATTAACATTTTTTGCTGCACCTCTGTAAGTAAATCAGGCCAAGAGACAATGAAAGTAGCTGTGTGTGTGTAATCAAAAATAATTTTAGACATTATGATCATCAGAGGGGACTGTTAAAAATCCTAACTCATTAATAAATATTTTCATTTTTCCCTATATTTGCTTTCTACTTCCTAGGATACAGAATTTTTTGTGTCAGGCTGTTTTTTTACTTAACATTATAAACATTTTCCTACAATTTTTTACATAATCTTCATAAGTTAACAGCTTTTACACCTTTTGTTATGTTTAATATATCATTTATTTAACAATTTCCCCAATTTTTATATTTAGGCTGTTTCCAGTTTTTTCTATTGTAAATAAACTGCAGTGAATTTCTTTAAGCAGGTACCTTTTGGTTTTATTGACTTACTAGGCCAAGTGTGGAATTACTTGGGCAAAGGTTATAACTACCTTTATTGATTCTGCCATGTAACTATTGCTATCAAAAGACAAATTGCAGGTGAAAGTATAAATAAGTCTTTGCTTGGCTTCTGAAGTGTGTATCTGTTCTGTTTTTCTTAGTAAACTGTGTTTGTAGACCTGCCTCACGAAAGTGCAACAGTAAGGTCGGCTGGTGGTCATCAAGGTGTTAATTGCTTCTCGTGCTTCTGTTAGTGACTTCTGCAGAACCATCAGACGATGAGTTTAAAGTTGCTCTGACTTCTTTGTTATGATTCAGACTTGGAGTCTTTAAATTTGTTTATCTTATTTCACAGTCTCTGCTGGGCAAGTGCAAGGAGCACTGTTTAGATGTGACTCAAATGCTTTTTGTTTGTAACTTCATTTCTGTGGCCTTGATTAGGTTTTTAAGAGACTACATTTTCTTTCTCAATTTTTAAGAAGTTTCAAGAATGATTTGGTAAAAGCAATTATTTTATTCTATTACAGGGGAACATTGTTCTTACAGATTATGAATATCTAATTTTAAATATCCTAAGATTTCGGACTGATGAGTCAGATGATGTTAAGTTTGCTGTTCGTGAACGCTATCCAGTTGATCATGCTAGAGCTGCTGAGCCTTTGCTTACCTTGGAAAGGTAACATGTTTTGTTTATAAACTCATTTCATGTTGTATTGAAAGGTGAGATAAGTCATGTCAGAATATGAAAACTGTCACAGAAAATATTTTGTTTACTAGCATAAAATAATTAAATTTGGACTGCTCAAACTACATAAATGTGCAGGTAAGCAATTTAGCCTTATTTGGGAGGAGCAGGGTTTGTCTTTTTAATCTAAGTTTGGTGTTGTTTCAGATGCTTGTGATTTCTTGGTAAAGCAAGGGGTCTTATTAGCTATTCTGTGAGAAGACAGATGGATATCTTGGGCAGAGTGCAAAAGGAGAACGAAATTCTGGTTTAGCTAAGAAAAGGGAGTGCGGTGGGATAGGGTGCCAATTGTAGCTGTACTCTTCTGGGCTGGAAGACTTTGCTGACTAACAGCCCACAGTCATGGGGGTGATTGGTAAAACATTGATTTCTGCCCCTCCCTCCCCTTTCTGATTCAGTATATGTGGTGTGGGGTCCAGGAATTTTTACGTGTCTAACAACTTCTCAGGTGATGTGGATGCTGCTGATCTGGGGACTACAGTCGCCCACAACATCCTTAAGAGTTCTTATTAAATGCTTAAATAGGTAAAGCCATTTCAGGTGTTAAGATACATCATTAGCCTCCACAGACAACATTTAACTGTTATAAAAATGTCTCTTTCAATGACCTATATCGGCGCATTGATGATAAGCAATATGACTTAGTTGAAAAGTATTGATTTTTCTCAGAAAACCTGGTTTCAAGTCCCGGTATGCTGTTAGGAACCCACTTACCTTGTATAAATTCCTTTAAGACTCATTTTCTTACCTACAAAGTGAACTAATTCCTCTTAGAGTACTGTGAAGATCAGGCAGATTGATGCATGTGAAAGTGTTGTGGATAGCAGTATTGCTGTAAGGTTTATTAAATATAAGACAGTGAGAGGCATGTCAATTTTATTTCACAGGTTGACTGAAATAATAGCCAGTGCACCTAAGGGCGAACTACTGAAGAGAGTTCTTAACCCATTACTTCGTGAGTAATCCTTCATAGAGCCATGACATGTTTGCAAGATAACATAGTTTTCAGGAGTATACTTAAACCTTTTATAGTTCTAGTAGAAAATTAGAACAACTTGATAAATGTAGAAAGGAGTTTAAAATGATCTTTTGAGGGACCAGCCCTGTGGCCCAGTGGTTGAGTTTGTGTGCTCCGCTTCCGTGGCCCAGGGTGTCACCGGTTCAGATCCTGGGTGTGGACCGAGCACTGCTCATCACGTCATGTTGAGGTGGTGTCCCACACAGCAGAGCCAAAAGGACCTGCAACTGGAGTATGTAAGTTTGCACTGGGGGGCTTTAGGGAGAAGAACAAAAAAAGAAGATTGGCAATAGATGTTAGCTCAGGTGTCAGTCTTTAAAAGGAAAATATTTTGAGTAAGTAAGAGTTTATTTTCAAGGAAAGAGAAATTGCTATACCACATGAATTTGACCTTTGTTTATCTGTTAGCTTTTATTTAAAAGCAATGTAGTTATGTGAACTAAAAGTATGTTATCGAGCACTTTAGTGCTAGCTGTAGTATTCTGAGAAATCAGGTTTTTTCCAATGTGAATCTTCAGTTTACTAACCACTTAGCTTGTTTTTGGTTTTTTTTTTTATTATTATTAGTGGGCCTCAGGACCTCCAAGGATCTGCCAGGTACTTGTAATAACTGGGGTAAAGTAATTCAATTAACATTTTTTTTTTTTTGCTGAGGAATATCCATCCTGAGCTAACATCTATTGCCAATCATCCTCTTTTTGCTTGAGGAAGATTTGCCCTGAGCTAATGTCTGTGCCAGTCTTCCTCTATTTTATATGTGAGTCACCACCACAGCATGGTCATCAATGAGTGGTGTAGGTCCATGCCCAGGAACAGAACCTGGGCTGCCGAAGTGGAGCACGCTGAACGTAACCACTAGGCCATGGGGCTGGCCCCTCAATAAGCTTTTATACTTGAGAAAGTGATCACTTGTCCCTGTAGTAAGGGACCTGGAAGAGGACATTTGGGCAGGCAGGTTCCCTTGATTACTGAGCATTAGGGAGTTACTCTTCCTCTCCTATGAAATTAGAATGCATTAAAAAGTTATCTTTGGAACTTTCCAGCTGATTAGTATAGCATGTGTAAACTTTGTAAGTTTGGATTTTTCTGTTATTTCTTTATTGTATTAATATGGTGTATTACATTAACCAATTTTTGGATGCTGAACCAACCTTGCATTCCTGGTTTCTAATTCTTCTTATATATGTGGCTAAATTCCATTAAATTCCTGTAACTTTTACATTGCTACAATTTTATTGTAGTCTCAAATTTTTGTAAGTACTTGAATTGTCATCTCTAATAAAATTTCAAAATAAGTAAACTAACTTATTTTTACTGGCTACTGTTATAGAGTAGATCATTTATATTGGGATATAAGTTTACATTGTATTTTGAATGTTAAATTTGGTAGGAAAATATTAAAAATAATACCCTCTGCTTTTATAGCCTATGGACCAGCTCTCATTGAACACTGTCTTATAGAAAATGGATTCTCTGGCAATGTCAAAGTGGATGAAAAATTTGAAAGTAAAGGTATGTCTCCATGCTATAAGTTTTACACATTTTCGTTTATTTCCTTTTTCCAAAACTATGAAAATTCTTTCTGTGAAAGTGACAAGTGAACAGATAGTTCTAGACTTAAAAACATTGACCCGTGAGTGTTCTATCCATGATGCTCCTGGCTTCCTTCTCTCATGTGCTGCTTTCTCCCTAGTAACGTGCAGTTCAACCTCTTGACCTATCTTATTACGGTTCGACTGTAGAATATTCTCCCACCCTCCCTCTAAATTTTTGAAGTGGTTACTGAACTTGAGATAGTCTCCAGTAAAAGGCTTGAGGGAGTTGAATTATTCACCTTCTTACTCAGAACCTGGAGTCCTTCTAGAAATAGTAGTATTCATGCATTTTAATTCTGTAAGTACTATAGTGTGGGTAAATGATGAATTAGGCTTTTGTAACCACTTAAGGGAACTTAATTGCTGGGTTAGGATAATAAAATATTAGAGGAAATATAAGGAAAATGGAAGATTTGGTCTTTGACAAATTTTTATCTGTAGATTCTCATGTAAAATTTTTTTTTTTTAATTAAGCACTTTTTTTTTCTTTTTAAAGATTTTATTTTTCCTTTTTCTCCCAAAGCCCCCTGGTACATAGTTGTGTATTTTTAGTTGTGGGCCCTTCTAGTTGTGGCATGTGGGATGCCACCTCAGCATGGCTTGATGAGTGGTCCATGTCCGAGCCCAGGATTCGAACTGGCGAAACCCTGGGCTGCTGAAGCAGAGCACTCGAACTTAACCACTCGACCACGGGGCCGGTCCCTCATGTAAAATTTTTAAAAAATCATTCTTGATGTTTATATTTTGGGATTGTATGTCCTTTCTTAAGGTTTAGGGATAATTTTTGTGCTGTACATTTTTGTGTTGAAAAATACACATTGAATGTTTTAATGAATGATTTAGTTTCTAAAGTATACTGATTCAGTGCAATCCTGATCAAAATGCGAATAGGTTATATTGTTGGTTTTGCTATTCATTTGTTATAAAATGAATCTGATATTCATGTGGAATAAAAGCATTCAAAAATGTTTGCGAAAACTTTGGAAAATAATATTAATGTTGGAGAATAACCTTTTCACAGATTAAAATATATTATGAAGCTGTAGTAATTAGAACAGTAAGTTTTTGGAGAAGGAATAGACAGAATAAAGAATTCAGAAACCACTGCAAATATATATGGCAATTTAGTGTGTGAACAAAGTGGTTTTCAGATCGTGACAGAAAAGAAGGATTCGATAAAAGCTGTTGGGACTAGAGACTGGCCAGAACATATCCTTATTTACATATACTGATTACAAACATGAAATAATTATATTTGATTTTCTTGAACACTTTTTTCATTTCACATGCACTCTTCTATTTTCTGCATAGTCTCAATAATAGCTAATTGACAGTTGATTGGCCTACTTTTTTTCCTTTTTTATCCCCTATTAGATATTGAAAAAGTACTTGTTTGTCTGCAGAAAGCAGAAGACTATATGAAAACAACATCCAACTTCAGTGGAAAGGTAGCACCACGTATACTTAGTATATATTGTGGTTTTATTTATCTAGATTTTCAGAATTTAAATGTTTATTAAAGGATCAATATATCTAAATTTTTATTGTCATTTGGAAATTTGACGTCTGTTATATGCTTATTCTAGGGTAGTGTTTTTTTTTTTAGTTGCTATTGGTTTGTAATTTTTGTTCTGTTCCTTACATTTTATAGGAAGTACTAGGTCAAGTCAGCATCAGCACTCCAGAAAAGTTGAGGAATTTGAAAATATTTCCTCTTAGGTTGATTTTAGATAGAGAAGCACGTTTTAATTTGCCAGTACTTTTAAAAAGTTTGGTGATTTACATCCCTCTAATAGTTACACGTCTTCTGAATTACCTCATACCTTGTTTTTTCCCCTATTCAAAGTATAATTTTATTTACTAAAAAAGTTCAGAAAAGGTTCTGATTAATTATAGCTAAATTTAGTCCAAATATATACCTGTCAGGTTTTGTTTTGTTTTGTTTTGGTGAGGAAGATTGAGCCTGAGCTAATATCCATTGCCAGTCTTCCTCTTTTTTGCTTGAGGAAGATTGTCACTGAGCTTAGATCTGTGCCAGTCTTCCTCTGTTTTGTGTGGGGTGCTGCCACAGTGTGGCTTGACGAGTCGTGCTAGGTCCACACCTGGGATCTGAACCTGTGAACCCTGGGCCGCCGAAGTGGAGTGTGTAAACTTAACCACTATGCCACCAGGCCAATCCCTACCTGTCAGTTTTTTAAATGAATTAAAATTTCCTACTCAGTAAGAAAGTGAATCTGAGACTTTTTCTGCTGGAAGTAAAGTGCTGTTGGCTTTTCTAACTGCAGAAAATCTAAAAATGGAAAGAAAAAAGCAAAATGCACGTGTATAATTCCACCGCTTTATCAAATCACTAATTTTGTTTTCTTTATTCCCTGCTTTTTCTTGTCCATATGAATGAACTAGTATTGTTAATAATTGTTATTGAGCCTAAAAAATATCATTTTGAGAAGTAATACAATCAGTAGACAATTGCAGCTGATTAGTTATAACTAGAGTAATTTTATGTTAAATTAGTAAATTTCATGTCAGCCATGGAAAGTAAATCTTTGTTGATAATGGATAGAAATGTTTTATTGTTTGATTTTTGTAGGGATATATCATTCAGAAAAGAGAAATGAAACCAAGCCTCGAAGTGGATAAACCGACTCAAGACATACTCACGTAAGCATGCAGGCATGGGTCACTTTGCTTTGGATGTTTATTAATGTTCTTGAATGTGATGTAAGAAATATGTTTTACAGGTATGAGGAATTTCATCCTTTCTTGTTTTCTCAACATTCACAATGTCCATATATAGAGTTTGAATCATTTGACAAGGTGGGTTTTCCAATTCTGTTTTTTGACTAGTTAGCATGACATGAGTTGTTAAATTAACATCAATGTGCTTTGATTGGGAATTGAAAATATTTTTGTTTTACAATCACTATGAACCTGAGCATTGAAGATCAATGCAGTCACAGATATAAATTGTTGGAAACATTTGTTGCCACTTTATTTCAAGATGAAGGATCAAAGATTTGAACTTAATTTGATTCTTGACTTTCTAGCTGCATAATATGTATGCAAATTGAAGTAGAGACCAGGGTTTTCTTTTCAGCTAGTTATTTTCTGTGTTTTTTTTTTTTAATAAGGCCGTGGATGAATTTTATTCCAAGATAGAAGGTCAGAAAATAGATTTAAAAGCTTTACAACAGGTATGGTATTATTAAAAACATTTCTATTAAACCAGCTAGCCTTAGTGTGATTTGCTGGTTGATGATACTTTCATATAGGAATGGGCAGTCTTTCAGAAGAAGTGCGGGAACATCTTGATCTTGATCAAGGTCCAGGGGAGGTCTCAGGTTTGAAAAGTACACCCTTATTTGTTCCATCAGTATGTCAGACATTGTCTACAATGGAAAATACAGTGGGAAGGGGAGGCCTGTTATTTATAACCTAGTATGATTTGCTTTATTACAGCAATCCAAAGCTTCTCACACTTTGCTGTTAAGGGAACACTGTTCCAAGGAGGGGTTTTGTGTGTGTGTGTGTGTGAGAGGAAGATTGACCCTGAGCTAACATCTGTTGCCAGTCTTCCTCTTTTTTTTTCCTCCCCAAAGCCCCAGTACATAGTTGCGTATCCTAGTTGTAAGTCCTTTTAGTTCTTCTGTGTGGGACGCTGCCACAGCATGGCTTGCTGAATGGTGTGTAGGTCCACACCCAGGATTCAAATTGCCAAACCTGGTGCCGTGGAGGCGGACTGCGTGAAATTAACCACTACACCACCGACTGGCCCCCAGAGGAGATTTTTAAAATAGGCCAAAAGAGAAGGAAAAGTTTTTTCTATGCAAATAAGTATTTTTTTTTAATCATTAAACTGTTTTTTTTAAAGTGGAGTCTTAAACTATGCTATGTGTGTTTCATGACTCCACAAGGAGGGTTTAATCTGCCATTTTTTCCCAGCACATTTGACCATGTTTTGGAGCATTTGCTGCAGAACAGTTTCAGAAATTCACCACAATCATTCTTGATTTGAAGGAGGTTCAGTGTTTCAAAAATATTAATAAAGTCTTAAAATATGTGTGCAAACATTTGAAATTATGTGAATCCTTTTATCCTCCCTTCCTCAGTTTTAAGAAATTAACCATAGCACTATTTCAAAGCAGGTGGGTCAAGTGAATTAAATAGTGTGACTGCCACATGGTGGCAGCACTTTAGTTATTAAACAGATACTAGCAGTAACATCAAACCCCATGTTTTTTATGTGCATCAGAATACCCATAAATTGTTTTAGTAATCATTGTGCATTCTTTTAATAGTCACCATTCTTATAATTTAAATCTTTTTAATATTACATCCAGCATTCAAACATTCATTAATTGGTGATACTATTATTAGTGTTAGAAAATTTGCCCCCAAATCAGTAACCTTGAAGTATAAATTGTATATGATAAAATGCTACATAGAAGGTAAAATAACTACTGTGAGCCTTTGTGTTGTTAATTTAGGAAAAAGAGTACTCTGTAAAATATTAGAAATAATGTTGAGAAATTAAAAGTAGCAGCAATAAAATAAAAAGAAGCTATTTTGGTACTTTATGCTCTCTAAGAATGCATTCCCCCAAACTTTACTTTTATGTCATAGGAAGAAAAATGTCTTGAATTCTGCCTGCTTGAATTATGCGAGGGCGTTAGGGGCATGTCTTACATACAGCGTAACCTGCCATCCAAATACCTTCCTAGATAGGGAATGGGAGGGAGGGAGGTAAAGAGGAGAGGTAATTTTGGAGCATGAAACACTTAGGGTAGGATAGACCTGGGAAGGTGGGCTGTGGAGAACTTCAGCTAGCTAGGTGACAACACTGAGAAGGCAGAAGAGGGGTGGGGTAGTGAGTTTCAGGAGGTGAGAGAGAGAAGGTGCAGGAGGTAGGAGATGTCTAACTTTTTAAAAGTCTGTTTTCTTACCAAAAGGAAAAACAAGCATTGAAGAAGTTAGATAATGTCCGAAAGGATCATGAAGACAGATTAGAAGCTCTTCAACAGGCTCAGGTATTATGCTTAACTGTTTCAGATGCTTTTTCAAAAATGGTAACTTGAATTAGCATTATAGTAAATGTTTTGGTGTATCTCCAAAGGAAATAGACAAACTTAAAGGAGAGCTCATAGAAATGAACCTGCAAATAGTTGACAGAGCCATTCAGGTTGTTCGAAGTGCTTTAGCCAACCAGATAGATTGGACAGAAATCGGGTTAATTGTGAAAGAAGCCCAAGCTCAAGGAGACCCTGTTGCAAATGCAATCAAAGAATTAAAACTGCAAACAAATCATGTTACAATGCTGCTAAGGTAAGTGTGATTCTTAGTTAAGCAGTTAATGCTTATCTTTATTTTACTATTTAATTGTTCAGTATATTTGTTTAAAAATTTTATCTTTTATTTGGAAATTTATCCTTGAAGGTATAGAAAAAAATTAATTTACATTAAAATAATGCAACTATTTAAAATTGTAAGCCATTTATAATTTCATTGAGAAAAAATTGAAAATAAAGTGATGTCATTGACATTAGTGAAATACTATTGAATATTTTTAATAGAAATCCATACTTGTTATCAGAGGAGGAAGATGACGATGTTGATGGTGACATCAGTGTTGAGAAAAATGAAACTGAACCACCAAAAGGAAAAAAGAAAAAACAAAAGAATAAACAGCTGCAGAAGCCTCAAAAAAATAGGCCATTGCTTGTTGATGTTGACCTCAGCTTGTCAGCATACGCCAATGCCAAAAAGTAAGTCTTAAATTTAAGTAAAAATTTTAGGTAAAATATTATCTTCAATAAATCAATCAGAGTGTTAAGGATAATAAAAATCATTATTTTGCCTGTATATACTTTTGGGAGAAAATACTTTTTAAAATCTTGCGCATTATACAACTTTGTTTTTATACAGTGTAACAAAGTTGCACAGTGCACAAAACTTGTTCTCTATGGTTTGAGAGTCTGTAAAATTAGAAATAACATAAATAGAAAACTAAAGAATAAAGATTTTACTTAAAATTAAGAGAAATATATTTGTCTAGGTATTATGATCACAAGAGATATGCTGCTAAGAAAACACAAAAGACTGTTGAAGCTGCTGAGAAGGTACTTAATATTTCTTAGAGTGAATGTTAATTATTTTTCTCTGCTTTAATTTAATGGCTTTAATTATTTTTTCTGATTAAATGAGGTTTTCTAATTCAGAAATATCTTTCGAGCTTAATTTTGCTTTAAACGTATATATTTCCAGTGTTTATTTTTTTCCCCAAACCTGCTCCTCCCCAGTCCTCCCCCTCATTTTTCCCTTTGCTCAGGTTAAAAATGTTGGAGTCATCGTGGACTTTTCTCTCACAAACCATATCCAATCCATCAGCAAATCCTTTGGCTCTTCCTTGCGAGTATAACCAGGATCTGGGCACTTCTTATTAGTCCAGGCCTTCGTCATCTCTGTTCACATGGACTGTAACAGTAGCCTCTTACTGGGTCTCTCTCCTTCTACCCTTTTCCCACTATAGTCTGTTCTTGACACAGCAGCCATAGTGATGCTTTTAAATAGAAAATGAAGCCATTTCTGTCTGTTAAAAGTCTTCCACTTACTTCCTGTCTTACTCAACAGTTCAGAGCCCTTCTGTCCTGTAAGGTCCCACGTGATCTGCTCCCCTCCGATCTCATCACCTGCTTTCCTCTTGTTACACACTCTGTCCAGCTACTCTCGGGGTCCTAGCTGTTCTTACAGCAGGAGCCCATGCTCCTTCTCAGGGCCTGTGCCTCCGTAATTCCAGTAATCCTTCAGGCTTCTGCCTGAATGCTGGCACTCTTCTACCCAGAAAGCTCTTTCCTCAAGATTTCCGTGGTTCCATCCCGCCTTCATTCACATGTCTACTTAAATGAGACTTTATCAGAGAGGCCTTCTTTGCCACTCTAACTAGAAAGAGTACTACTTCAGTCACTCCTCCTTTACTCCGCTTGGTTTTTCTTCTTAAAAAAACGCCCCTCTCAACATACGTTGATTTGTCCTCTCTCTAGAATGTAGATTGCTTGAAAGTGGGATCTTTGTTTTATTCATTGCCGCATCCCAGCCCCTAGAGTACTGCCTGGAACACAGTCTGTTAAATGAGCAGCCCCTGTGACTCAGCTTTCTGTGCCTCTTCACCTCCTTTCTTGACATTTGACCTTGTGATCACTACTTCTGGTCACAGGCCTCTTCTTTCTGCTTATAATGCTCTTGCTCTTCTTTGCCTCGATAATTCCATTAATCCTTCAGGCTTCTACCTAAATGCTGTTTCCTCAGAGATACCTTCTTTGACCATATTCGGTTATAAATTATCTTCCCTTGTTAGACTTTCATGTGCCCTTAGAAGCACTTACCATGTTTGTTTGAATAATTATGTGTTTTGTATTTGTCTCTTTCCTTGACTACAGTAGGGTGGGGATGGGAGCTTCGTCTTGTCCACTGTTCTGTCCCCAGCATCTAGCCCAGAACCTGGTAGGTGGTAGGCACTCAGTATCTGGGAAATGAATGATACTCTTTAATTTGGAAGTCTTGAGCAAATATTTGTATACAGTAAGCCTTTGAATTAAATTATTTTAATATTTAAGGCAAAAATCTTTTCATTCTTCATTACTTTCCTGTGTTTATGGTGTATGTGTGTGTACATAGGGCCATTTTGTGACATTTAAAGAAATTACTTCTTGCCCTCTCATTTACTTGGTGTTATCTAAATAAATTCTCAATGAATGAATTTAAAAATTCATTTCTCATAAACAGGCATTCAAATCAGCAGAAAAGAAAACGAAACAAACCTTAAAAGAAGTCCAAACAGTTACCTCTATTCAAAAAGCAAGAAAAGTTTACTGGTAAGTGTTCTACCTTTTTAAAATAGAATTTTTATTTTTATCAAAATTATACATGCACATTGTTTAGAAGATCAAGCAGTTCTACAAAGCTTGTTACAAAAACCAGTAGTCCTGCAATTTTTCACCCTTACTCCTGTTGCCTCCTCTCCCAAGGAAACTACTTTGAGCTGTTTCTTTTGGTACATATGAAGGTTCTGTCACCTCGTAAAACAAATTCGGAAGTCTTCCTGTATCAGTTGTCCTTAAAAGTTTGATGGAATTCACCTGTGAAGCCAAATAGTTCTGGAGTTTTCTTTATGGGAAAGTTTTTCATTACAGATTCAAAGTTTTGAAGATTTTGAAGATACAGATTTTCTAGTTTTGGTTAGCAGTGTTTTTCTAAGACCTTGTCTGTTTTGTCTGAGGTTTGAAATGTACTGGCAAAAACTTTATAATATTCTGTTTTTTAACATCCCTGGGATCTTTAATGACCTCTCCCTTTTCATTCATGATAGTTATTATTTGTACCTTCTCTTCTTGATTAGCCTGACCAGAGGATTTTCAGTTGTATTAATATCTTTAAAGAACTAGTGTTTTGACTGTTATTCTCCTCTGTTATATATGTGCTCTCTATTTTATTTTCGTTTTTCTACTTTTCTTTGGGATTCATTTGCAGTTCCCCTTCTGATTCCTTGAGGTGGAAGCTTAGTTCGTTGATTTTTCTCCAGCCTCTTTTCTCAAATATGTATTCAAGGCAGTAAATTTCCCTCTAAGCCTGGCTTTAACTGCATCTAAAAAGCTTTCTGTAGTATTTTCATTATCTTTTACATCAAGATATGTTCTGATTTCCATTGTGATTTCTTTACTCATGCATTATTTAGAATGTATGTTTGTTAATTTCCAAACATATGGGACTTTTCTGGTTATTTATTGTTGTTACTGATTTCTAGTTTAATTTGCATAATGGTCAGAGATGGTATTCTGAATTATCTCAATCCTTTGACATTTGTTGTTGAAACTTGCATTATGGCCCAGTCTATTTATGATCAACTTTATTTATGAAAATGTTTCATGAGCGTTCTGCAGTTGTTGACTACATTTCTCTAAATATCAGTTTGGTCCCATTTATTAATCATATTGTTCAGATCTTTGGCATCTTTACTAATTCTTTTTTTATCTATTTTTTTCTCAGTTACTGGGAGAGGTGTGTTAAATACCTCATAATTGTGGTTTTGTCAGTTTCTCCTTTTATTTCTGCCAATTTTTGCCATATATATGAGAGTATGTAGTTAAGTGATACAAATATAGAACTGTTATATCTTCCTGGTGAATTGAGCCTTTTATTAACTTCAATGAAATACCCTTTTAACTTACAACCATTTTTTCCTTCTGTGTGAGATATTAAAACTACTCAGCTTTTTTTTGGTTAGTGTTTGTATGATATATCTTTTTCCATTATCATATTTCAACCTTAGTGTATCCTTATATTTTAAAGGAGTATGTATATCATTTTTGTTTTCCAGTCTGACAGCCTTTGCATTTTACCTGGAGAATTGACTGCATTTACTTTTAATGTAATTTCTGATACATTTGGGTTTAAACCTACCCATCTTGCTATTTGCTATCTGTTTGTCTGATTTGTTCTGTGTTTTTTGTCTTCCTTATTGCCATCTTTTGAATGGTTAATTGGAGTTTCTTTTTCTTTTTTTGCCCGTTGGTTATGGCATTCCTCCTTGGATGATTACAAAATACATCCTTGATTCATCTTTCTCATTCTCTTTGTTCTTGTGGGTTTATCTCTTTTGCAAATGTCTTTACCATCAAAAGGGAAGTGGTTAAATATAGTACATCCATTCAGCAATGAAGAAGATATATTTTTAAGTGAAAAAAGAAGGCAGTATGCAGAACGGTGTGTGTTGTGTCTAAAGAAGAGAAAAGGTTTAGCGTACGCATTTTATTTTAGTTTTTGTATGTGTAAAGAAACTCTGGAGAAGGATACACAAGAAGCTAATCTCAGTGGCTCCCTGTTTGGTAGTGCTGGTGGGAACTGAAGGGGGAGGCAGGAGCTCTCACGATGCCTTTTTATATAATTAAAAAAATTTTTGAACCATGTATTTGTATTAATCAAAATCAGATTCGAAAATAGGAATAAAATTCTTTTGCTATTGTATTTGGGGGAAGTGGGAATATGAGGGAGTTTAGTTTAATGCCTGTGTTCAATCTATCATCTTTAACTGTAAGTTTTTAAATTTTAGATTAAATCATAAAAAGATGATCTTGGTAGTCATATGTAATATAGCAAATATTTATGTTCATCTCTCTTGCATGTCATTTCTAAATGTCGTACAGATACACTCTTTACTTTTTATCGTGGTGGTACATATTAATCATGAAAACCCAGATTACCTTGTCTCTTGAGAAAAGTGATAATTTTACACTTCTGAAGGCAATTTTTGTTTTTTTGTATAAAAAAAAAAGAATATCATACATGTAAAGATTCAATTGATTAATTGAGGACAGAATGGGAAAACAACTTTTCTTTCTTACCAGAGGTCCCAAAGCCTATCCAGTACCCTGACTAAAAGAAAGCTGAACCTAGGGACCACATGACATTTTATGCTTTTTGCCTTAGGCAATTCATTATTATAAGTTATCCTCAAATTTAAGGCTAGCTATATGAGAGGGAGATAAGGAGAGAATGTACTTTTTTAAAACACAGAATTTAGTTCCTTTCTCTAACACTGTCTTAAGAATACCCTAGAGCAATTTGTATTACAAGCTTTCCATAAAATTCAGCTTGATGCTTTAGGATATTAAATCATCCATTTGTCTTAACCTACAAAACAGGACAGCTTCCTGTTTTGTTTTCAAAAAGAGTGTGAATTCAGGCAACCATAAAGGCAAAGAAATGTTAACTTTTTTTCTTTCAATTTGGTAGGTTTGAGAAATTTCTGTGGTTCATTAGCTCAGAGAACTATCTAATTATAGGTGGACGAGATCAGCAACAGAATGAAATAATTGTGAAAAGATACTTGACACCAGGTAGGTAAGATTAAAATTCTAAAGAATTTTCTCTTAAATAATTGGATCAGTTATCTCAAGATTAGCTGTAGATTTTCCTCTTTCACTCTTTTGTTTGACTCATTTAATTGGTAGAAAGAGTTTGATGCTTAATGGTTTAAGGTTCATTGAATATGTGCTTTGACACTTCTCATTTTAAGTGAGTACTCCTAAGGTAGTAATGCTGAGCTAATCTGTGGTACTGGACTTTTGATTTTCTACTACATTAACAGAATAGCTCTCAGTCCTCCAAAGTCATTGTAGCTCAAGATTTTAAGAGCTTAATTTTTCAGCCCCGAAGTTTATAACCTTTTTTCACATTTAGAACCAGGACTTAAGCCCTGTGGTGTAAGGTTTATCACTTTTATTTGTTTGCTGATAACTACCGCCTCATTGTGGCTGAACCCCCAGTGTGAGTATTAGAAATCAACAAGCAGTATCAGAGCTAATCTGATGTCCACGGAGGATCCTGAGCCAGGAAGGAAAGCACAGGGATTAGGTTGCATGGTGCCCAGGGTGTGGTCTTTGTCTTCTCTAACTTGTTCATTGTGAGCTGAGCCTGTCATGAAGCAGTATGGGTTTTGCTCTTCTTTGAGTTTCAAATCGCAGATGAACTGTCCATAGCAAGCAATGGCTGCTTGTTTTACCTCCTAGGAACCATGCACTTTCCTCTTCCTGGTTGACCATTCACTCCTGCATTCATCTCATTCATTGCTATCACACACTTAGAATAAAACTGCAAGTCCTCATCGTGACTTACAAGGCTACCTGCTTCTACAGCCTCACCTCTCTCCCATTAGTCTGGCCACCTGACTTCTCCTTATACATGGCAAACATCCACAGTCCTCAGAACCTTTGTACTTGCTAGGATGACTCATCTGCTCCATGTGTCTCTCACCCTTCCGCAGGCTAGCCTGGGCTTGCTTGCATGGTAACTCAGCAAGTTTCTGAGAAAAAGAAGAAGCACAGTAGGCCTCTCAAGGCTTAGGCTGGGAACTAGTACTTGGTCACATCTGCCACATTCTACTGGCCAAAGCAGGTCACGGGGCAGACCCAGATTCGAGGGTTGGAGAAGTGGACTCCACCTCTTGATGGGAGAAGCTTCAAGGTCACAGAGCAGAGAGATGTGGAAAGGAGGAGAGGAACTTTGACCATTTTTGTAATCTACCATATTAACATTGCTTTCCTTTATGAGGAGGCCTATGAGAAGTTTCTCAGGGCTGGAAGATGGATTTTTCTTTATATGCCTTATCCCTTCTGAGTTTTGAACGCATTAAACAATAAATAAATAATTTCAACTAAAAGAAAGAAAGAAAGAAACAGGAATTAAAGTATTATTTCTTTGTTTTTAAGGGGACATTTATGTACATGCTGATCTTCATGGGGCTACTAGCTGTGTAATTAAGAATCCAACAGGTAATATATTCCTATTATTCAAAACTTTAATTCTTTTCTTTAAAATGCTTTTAACATAACTATAAGACAAAAATTGTTAATAGAGATAAAGGACACTTCATAATGATAAAAGGGTCAATCCATCAATAAGATATAACAGTTATAAACATATATGCACCCAACAACTGAGCTCTAGAATACACAAAGTGAGATCTGACAGAATTGAATGGAGAAATAGACAATTCAGCACTAACAGTTCAAGACTTAAACACCTAACTTTCAGTCATGGATAGAATAACTAGATACAAGATCCACAAGAGAATAGATATGAACAACACTATAAGTTAACTAGGTCTAACACGTATCTTTAGTACACTCCACTACCTAACAATAGTAGATTACTCATTCTTTGCAGTTGCACATGGAATGTTCTCCAGGATAGACCATATGATGATAGTCTATAAAACAAGTCTCAATGAATTTAAAAGTACTGTAATCATACAGAGTAAGTTTTCTGACCATAATGGAGTGACATTAGAAGCCACTAATAAAATTTGGGGGGCTGGCCGCGTGGCCCAGTGGTTAAGTTCGCGCACTCCACTGCAGGTGGCCCCGTGTTTCGTTGGTTCGAACATGGACTTGCCACTGCTCATCAAGCCACGCTGAGGCAGCGTCCCACATGCCACAACTAGAAGGACCCACAACGAAGAATGTGCAACCATGTACTGGGGGGGCTTTGGGGAGAAAAGGGAAAAAAAAAGAAAACTTAAAAAAAAAAATTTGGGAAATTTACAAACGTGTGGAAATTAAACAATATACTCATAAATAACTGGTGGATCAAAGAGGAAGTCACAGGATGGTTAGAAAATACTTTGAGATGAATGAAATCAAAACATAATATATCACAATTTAGGAGAGGAAGCTAAAACTGCCTAGAGAGAAATTTGTAGCTGTAATGCCTAAAATAAAAAACAGGAACGATCTCAAGTCAGTAACAAAACTGTACACATTAAGATCTAGAAAAAAATGAGCCAGCCCAGGTGGCCTAGTGGTTAAGTTTGGTGCGCTCTGCTTCACCCCCCCCGAGCTTGGTTCCCAGGCATGGACCTACACCACTTGTCAGTGGCAATGCTACGGTGGCAACCCACATACAAAATAGAGGAAGATTGGCAACAGATGTTAGCTCAGGACAAATCTTCCTCAGGGGAAAAAAAAAAGATAAAAGCCGCATTGGGAAAGGAAAGAAATAATAGATTCGAATGGAAATAAGTGAAACAGAGAATAGAAAGACAAAAGAGAAAATCAACAAAGCCAAAGTTGGTTTTTTGAAAAGATTGACAAAATTGATAACCCTTTAGCTAGACTGACCAAAAAAGTAAAAGAGAAGATTCAAAATCCTAAAATCAAGAATGGATATGCCACAACTAGAAGGACCTGCAGCTAAGATATACAACTATGTACTAGGGGGGATTTGGGGAGATAAAGCAGAAAAAAAAAGAATGGAAGAGAGGACACATTACTACCAACTTTATGGAAATCAGAAGGATTATAAGAGAATGTTATGTACAATTGTATGGCAATAAATTAGATAACCTAGATGAAATGGACAAATTCCTAGAAAGACACAAACTACCAAAACTGACTCAAGTTGAAGTAGAAGATCAAAGCAAACCTATAACAAGTAAAGAGATTGAATTAGTAATAAAAAGTCTGCTCACAAAGAACATCTCTGATCCAGACAGCTTCACTGGTGAATTCTACCAAACTTTTAAAGAAGATTGAAGACCATCCTTCACATACTCTTCCAAAAAAATAGAAGAGATGAGACTACTTTCTAACTCATTGTGCAAGGCCAATGTTACCCTAATAACAAAACCAGACAAAGATATCACAAGAAAAGAAAACTACAGATCAATATCACTTATGACTATAGAAACTAAAATCCTCAACAAAATATTGGGAAACTGAATCCAGCAGCATATTAAAAAGATTAAACATCATGACAAAGTGGAATTTATCCCAAAAATGCAAGGTTGGTTTCGCATATGAAAATTAATCAATGTAATATGGTGTATTAATAAAGGACAGAACCACATGATCATCTCGCTGATGCAGAAAAAGCCTTTGGCAATAATCCAACAGCCATTTGTGATAAACACCCTCAACAAACTAGGAATAGAAGGGAACTTCCTCAAGTTGGTAAAGAACATCTATGAAAACCCACAGCTAACAATCCTACTTAATGGTGAAAGACTGAAAGCTTTCCCCCTAAGATCAGGCACAGGATAAGCGTGTCTGTTCTTGCCACTTCTATTCAACATTTTATGGAAGTTCCAAGTGTGCCATCAGGCAATAAAAAGAAATTTAAAAATAGCCAACTTGGTAAGGAACGAGTAAAACTCTCTGTTTGCAGATGACATGATGTTACATATTTAAAACCATAAGGAATCCACCAAAAGTTATTAGTTAGTAACAAAGTCAGCAATGTCTAGGATACAAATTTAATATACAAAAGTCAGTTTTTGTTTTGTTTTTGTTTTTCTTTTGGTGAGGAAGATTGGCCCTGAGCTAACATCTATTTTTTGTATGTGGGATGCCACCACAGCATGGCTTGATGAATGGTATGTAAGATCCACTTCCAGGATCTGCACAAACCTTGGGCTGCCAAAATGGAGCATGCAAACTTAACCCCTACACCATGGGGCCAGCCCAGGTTAAACTTTTATACACTAGCAATGAGCAGTAGTAAAAGGAAATTATAAAACATACATTTATAATAGCACTAAAATTAATGAAATACTTAGGAATAAGTTTACCAAAAAGAAATGAGAGACATACACCCCAAACTACAAAACATTGTTGAAAGAAATTAAAGAAGACCTAAATAAGTGGAAAGACGTTCAGTGTTTATGGATTGAAAGTCTGAGTATTGTTCTGATGGCAATATTAATCTACAGATTTGATGCAATCCCTCTCAAAATTCCAGCTGCCTTTTTTTACAGAGATGGACAAGCTGATCCTAAAATTCATACGGAAATGCAAAGGACCCAGTTAAGCCAAATCATTCTTTTTCTTTTCTTTTTTTTTTTTTGAGGTAGATTAGCCCTGACCTAACTACTGCCAGTCCTCCTCTTTTTGCTGAGGGAGCCTGGCCCTGAGCTAACATGCGTGCCAATCTTCCTCTACTTTCTATGTGGGATGCCTACCACAGCATGGCGTGCCAAGCCGTGCCATGTCCACACCCGGGATCCGAACCGGCAAACCCCAAGCTGCCAAGACTCGAAATGTGTGCACTTAACCACTGCGCCACCGGGCCAGCCCCAAGCCGAATCATTCTTGAAAACGAAGAAGAAAATTGGAGGACTCATACTTCCTGATTCCAAAACCTCCTACAAAGCAACAGTAATCAAGACAGTGTGGTATTGGCATGAGGATGGACAGATAGATCAATGAAAAGAAGTGAGATTCCTTGTTTATAGTCAGTTGATTTTCAGCAGGAGTGCCAAGGCCATTCAAGGGGGATAGAATAATCTTTTAAACAAATGGTGCTGGGACAACTAATATCCATGTGTAAAAGAATGAAGTTAGACCTCTACTTCACACCGTTTACAAAAATTAAATGCATCAGAGACCTAAACCTAAAGGCAAAAACTATAAAACTGTTAGAAGAAACTAAGGCATAAATCTTCATAATCTTGGATCAAGAAGTCATTTCTTAGATATGACACCAAAAGCATAAGCAACCAAAGAAAAACAGATAAATTGAACTTAAAATTAAAAACCTTAATTCAAAGGACACTATCAAGAAAGTGAAAAGATAACTCACAGAATGTGAGAAAGTGTTTGCAAATCATTTATCTGATTAAGGACCAGTATCTGAAGAACACTTAAGACTCAACATAGAAAGGCAAAGAAAGCAATTTAAAAATGAGCAAAGGATTCAAATAGACATTTCTCCAAAGATAGACAAATGGCTAACAAGCGCATGATAAGATGCTGAGCATCATTTGTCATAGGGAGGTGCAAATCAAAACCACAGTGAGATACCACTTTACATCCACTAGAATGGTTACAATGAAAAAAAACAGAGAATAAATGGTGGTGAGGATATGGAGAGATTAGAACCCTTACATGCTGTTGCTGGGAAGGGAAAAAGATGTAGGTGCTATAGAAAATAGTTTGGCAGTTCCTCAAAAATTTACCATGTGACCCAGCAATTCCACTTCTAGATATATGCCCAAGACAACTGAAAACATATGTCTACACGAAACTCACTGACAAATCTTCAGAGCAGCGTTATTTACAATAGCCAAGAAATAGAAACAACCCATATGTCCATCAATTGAATAAACAAAATAGGGTATATCCATATAACGGCATATTATTCAGAAATGAAGTACTGATGCGTGTTCTAACGTAGATGAACCTTGAAGGCACTATGCTAAGTGAAAGAAGCCAGACACAAAATTTTTTATTTATATGAGATTCCAAAATAGGCAAATCCATAGAGATAGAAAGATTAGTGATTGCCAGGGCCTGGGAAAATGGAGAGTGACTGTTAATGAATACAGGATTTCTTTTGGGAATACTGAAAACATTCTAGATAGTGGTAATGGTTGCATAGCTTCATGAATATATTAAAAACACTGAATGGTACACTTTTAAAAGGGTGAGTTCTATGGTATGTGAATTATATCTCAAAAAATACTTGAATCTAACTGTAGGGACATATTATTAACATGCTCTACATTTTGATGATTTAGGCAATCTATAGTAATTTTGGAAGTCTTCAAACTTTAAATAGATCTTTCTAAATTATCCTTTCTGGAATGAAGCTAGAATTATTGATAGAAGTGAGGATATTTTTTCGCTGACTTGTTGTATTTTCTTAGACCATTTAAAAGCCTCCTGTGTAAATAACATTTTTAATAAAACAGTAACTTTGTAATATTGAAATAAAAATGTGGTATTAGTGTTTAAGATAGAAGAGGATTGAACCTGTCATGCTGCATGTGACTTTCATGTGTTGCTCTGTAGAAGGGCTGAACTTGGTACTGAAGGTGGTGGTGTTGTTATTATAGGAGAACCGATCCCACCTCGGACCTTGACTGAAGCTGGCACAATGGCACTTTGCTACAGTGCTGCTTGGGATGCACGAGTTATCACTAGTGCTTGGTGGGTGTACCATCATCAGGTAATAGGGGCTGTGGTCCTTTTTCTTAATTTATTAAGAGGTACTGGGTACCAAATTTTGGGGGTATAGAAGTGAACAAGGCAGACAAAATACCTACCTTGATGGAGCTGACATTTTGGTGATGGAGAAAATACATACATAATGTCACGTTACAAGCCCTGTAAAGATTTTTTTCTTAAAGCAGAGTAAGACCATAGAGAGTGAGAGGGGCTACCATTTTGAATAAAGTGTCAGGGAAGGTAAGATTTGAGCAGAGACCTAAATGAAGAGAGTGATCCATGTGATTATATGGGATAAAGAGTGTTCCAATTGTGACTGGCACACTGACCTAAAAGGTCTTTCTCCTGTTCGTCTTTGTTGGGATTTTCTGAATTATCTTTGCCCATTCCAGAAAAGTAGGTACATCTGGTAGATTTTATTCACTTGGTTTTAGTAACTGTCCTCCTTTGTGGTTAATCTCTTTGATGCTGCTTCATTCCATATTTGACTTCACGTTGCTATTGACTTTACATTTTCAAAATTAGAATTGATAACAGTATACTTTTACAAAGTCCTAAAGCTTATACAGAAAGATAAAAAGAGTTCAATGCCATTATCCTGCCTTAGATTTAGTTTTATTTTATATCTATTTATGTTCATTAGTTTCTGCTATGCTGTGATACTGTGTTTTTAGGAAATTAATATCACTTCTGGGATTATATTTTCTACCTCACTAGTGTTATAAAAGTGGCTTTAATTCTTTTATGAATAGGTTTTTGTAGGATGAAATTTAGTGTTCTTTTAATCCCTCTGCGTAACTATGACTGTTAAAGATACTCTCAGATTTGGGAGTTTCACAGATTTATAAAATTTTTAAATATTGTGGAATTATCTTGCTTACTCCCTATTTTACCAAATTAGATTATATTTTTAAAAACCTGTTATCTTTATTTCCTAAAATGAAAAGTTATTATCCCCCCAAAAATTATCTTGTAAAAGGATTTTTAAATAAAATTTTACTAAATATAAATATAGTTTGATTTTAGTAAATATAGCTTTATGATAAGCTTATTAAACTATCCTTTTTTTCCTCATTATATCTCACACTAGAGGAAATGTGTGGACCAGTTCTGACTCTAGTCCATGGCATTTGAAAATTATTGACGTAGTATATCCTCCATTATTTCTTTTCTTTGTTAATGCTTAAGGGCTGTCTATCATTGAAGAGATATCTGTTCCTTCATTGTTGAGAATTTTTGCTAAATTATAAACTTTTCAGGACATAGTGCTATTTACTTGAATGTGACTTTACTTTCTCTAGTGAAAATTAAGAAACCCTATTTCTTAAGACAAGAGTATAATGTATTGTGTTCTTCAGGTGTCTAAAACAGCACCAACTGGAGAATATTTGACAACAGGAAGCTTCATGATAAGAGGTAATGACTTGTCAGTGGATTATGGAGACAGGTTTGAAGACCATCTGCTAATATTCTCAGAACAGAAATTAATTATTCTGATTTCCTATATAAAGTCTGTTAAGAAATAAAGAAAATTTTGCCCTGGTATGGCAAATTTAGCATTTGTCATGTCATCTCCTTATATATTTTTATTGATGAGAATGTACTTTCACATAAAGTTGTAAGGAAGGGTAAGTATAGCATGACCTTTTTTCTAAAAATAGATTATTGAGAGTCTGACTAATCCAAAAGATGAGAACATGCATATTTTTTATTTCTTAATTCCTATCCCTTTACATAGTGCCAAATTCTGTAAATGGGAAATGTTGCTTCAGGACAAAGAAAAGACAAAAGAGATGTGACCACTGGTGTCAGATATCTTGCATAAAATAGAGAAAACAGATTTTTAAAACATTTGTGTACATTATCTTTTGTAGGAAAAAAGAATTTCCTTCCTCCTTCATATCTAATGATGGGGTTTAGCTTCCTCTTTAAGGTACTCTTCAGCTACATTGTTTGTTTTTCTGATTTTCATTAGTCTTACCTAAAGTTCCATCAATGAGAAAGAATTGTTTCCATAGGTAGATGAGTCTTGTGTTTGGAGACATCGGGGTGAACGGAAAGTCAGAGTGCAGGATGAAGACATGGAGACACTGGCCAGCTGCACAAGTGACCTCATCTCAGAAGAAATGGAACAACTAGGTAGTTTACAGATTTTAATAAAGAGTTTATAATGTTCTGTTGTCCAGTTTTGCTTCTAAATTCTTACTTAGAAGATCCTATCTCCTTTGGGATAATTGAAATTTCAAAAAAGACACTTGCTGTCAATTTTACTGAATTTGGTTTCTGGAAATGTTAATTATACTTATTTTAGTGAATCAAAGTGTTTAATTGGATGTGTAACTAATATACTTGAGTATATGTTTATATAGTAAAGCTTCATTTTTTTTAATTTAAAAAAGTTTTTTTTTATTTTTTATTTTTATTTATTTATTTTTTTTTTGAGGAAGATTAGCCCTGAGCTAACATCTGCCGCCAATCCTCCTCTTTTTGCTGAGGAAGACTGGCCCTGAGCTAACATCTGTGCCCATCTTCCTCTACTTTATATGTGGGACGCCTGCCACAGCATGGCTTGCCAAGCGGTGCCATGTCTGCACCTGGGATCCGAACCGGCGAAGCCTGGGCCGCCGAAGCAGAATGTGTGAACTTAACCACTGCGCCACGGGGCCGGCCCCAAGTTTCAGCATTTAATGAGTAATATATAAATGTGTTTAACAGAGATAGATTCAAATATATATGAATGAACATTTACTTTTGGCTTAAGGAGTTAGAAATGATACAAAGATGAGTTGATAACAAGTGCAGTTTCTTATAAGAGAATTTAGCTTGATTTAATAATATATTTGCTTCATAGAGAGCACTTATCGTTGCTGGAATAAATTTACTTCCTGCCTAATGGAACTAGGGAATGTACGCCCTCTAAATTATTTTTATAGTTATTCTTCTAAGGTCATTCCTTTTTAGGAGTAATATTGCACTCTTTCATTTAGGACTACTATTATACTACAAGATTCTGTTTCTTCGTATTTTCACCATGATCCTGACACTGTTAAGTACTTTATTTACTTTTTTTTTTGGATTGGCACCTGAGCTAACATCTGTTGCAAATCTTTTTTTTTTCTTTTCTTCTTCTTCTCCCCAAAGGCCCTCAGTACATAGTTGTATATTCTAGTTGTGAGTGCCTCTGGTTGTGCTATGTGGGACACCGCCTCAGCATGGCCTGATGAGTGGTGCCACACCTGCACCCAGAATCCGAACCCATGAAACCCTGGGCTGCTGAAGTGGAGCATGTGAACTTAACCACTCAGCCATGGGGCAGCCCCTATTTACATTATTTTTTATTAAATTCTCACAATCATTCTTGTCAGATGGGTAGTGGTATCTCATTTTATAGGTGAGGCAAGTAAACCATATTATTCCACTAGCCAGTGTTCATTTTGCAAACCTATGAACACCTGCTCTGTGCCATTATATTTCATGTATTATTTCAATTCTTGTGCAAATTATAATAAAAGCAGCAGAATTTGTAGAACTTCTGTTGTCCTCCTTTTTGGAAATACCTAACAAAGACAGGTTATAGTTTTCATTGTAGAAATGGCTGCACTCTCCAAGAAATTTATTGTGGCAAAGGATGTTGGTTTCATTCAAACCAATTCATGATACAGAGTATCCTTTGGGGATGATCAGGCATTTTTCTGTTGATCTTCTGGAAAGACAGGAAGTAAATAGAATATGTTTATGAAGTTTTCAAGGAAATCATCTAGCTCTATTGTGGGGGTGGCACACTGACTTACGGTAATTCTTCAGATGGAGGTGACAGTAGCAGTGAAGATGATAAGGAGGAATTACAGGAAACTCCTGTGCAAGTGGAAGTCGTGACTCAGGTTGACCAAGAGGATATTACTGTTCAGAGTGGTGGAGATGAGCTAAATGAAGAAGGAATTCAGGAAGAGAGCTCTGAAGACGAAGGAGAATCTGAAGAGGTGCTGAAAGATCAGGACCCTGTGGGTGAGGTGAAGGATGATGGGGGAGACGCGTTCAGTTACCCCGATACCACCATTGACCTATCCCACCTGCAACCCCAAAGGTAATTAAAAACCATGATTTGAAGTTTTATGAAGAGTTAAAGGTAATACTTAACAAAGATAATGCCAAGATTGACTTTGGTGCTTTTACCCTCCACTGTCCTATTATCTTTTCACCATTTGACTGGTAGGGAGATCTCTCTAAAGAATTCTCAGGACCCAGGGTAGAAAAATACAGTAAATATAAAAGTGGCCAAACTGGGTCAAAATAGAAACAAGTAAATGGTTATAAATGCTAATAATATAAGAAAGGAGATTCCCTTAAAAAAAAGAATAAGGAGTGTTAGTCTTGAATGTCTTACTGATCACCAAGTAATTAGTGCCCTAGTTACAAAAGCATTATCACTGAAGTAAGAATGGCTTAGGAGTCAGACCGCAGTTGATTCTCAGGATATGTCCTTGCGCAAGTTGCTCTGTGTCTGAGCTTCAGTTTCCTTCTTGGTGACAATGGAATGGTAGCCCCTTTGTAGGGTTTTGGTGAAGATGATATGCATGTAAAGCCCCTGGCTGTACCTGGCACACAGGAGGTGTTCAGTACACGTCAGCTGTGTAAGAATATATTTAAAAGGGTGAGGAGATGAGCTATCTGACTGTATTTTTTCTAATTTTACCAAATTTGAGAATTTGTAGGATTGCCAGTAATTAAGCATATAGGGGAATGTTTTTGGACTTTGTAAATGAGTGCCCTTGCAGGCTACAGGACTTCTCTTTCTGTTTGTTTGCATAGGTCCCTCCAGAAATTGGCTTCAAAAGAGGAAGCTTCTAATCTGGTAAGCTATTTTCAAAGTTCTGTGAAGAACATCATGTCTTTCTCAATGAGTAATTTTCTACCTTTTAATTTTACTTTTTGAAGAATTAATAGTAGTGATGTTATTTGTGTTTGCTTGTTTTTTTGTTTTAATTTTAATAGAGTGACAGTAAATTACAAAGCCGGAGACATTTGTCAGCCAAGGAAAGAAGGTAAACATACTTGTTTTATATAACTGAAAAGCATGTTGTTCTGTTTTTTTTAATTGACAATTCAGTTATGACAGATCACTTGGCTGTTCCTAAAAACTCCCTTATTAAAATGACCAAGATTTAGCATAAATCTTTAGTTTTTAATATTCAATTCTAGTAGGATTTTCTGTGTTAGGGCCCTAATCTGTCACTACAATCAGTGAGCTAGGTCAAGTAACACGAGACAAACCTATTATTACATAAATATGTGCAATAATGATTGCAGTGTATTAAATAGGCTGCTTCTGCGATAATATTGGCAGGAATAAACAGGAATAGTTGAAACATTAATTAAGAAAGTTTTATGTAAGAGGGAAGACTTGGGTTTTTTTTAAATATAGCAGGTCTTGGGAGGCAAATAGAAAGGGATGACTGAGACAGGTGGTATAGGGTGAAAAGATGAAAACTAGTCAGGCACGCCAGGACGCCCTAGATTGGAATGACAGTAAACCCTTTTCTTTGACAAAGATAATCATTAAACAGAGAGACTCTGAAAACATGGCACTGTACTAGGTACTGCATATACAACGAGGCAAAAACAAAGTTTGTGCCTTCAAGAAGCTTTTGAGTCTTGGATTCAGGAAATAGCTGTAAATCTGTACATGGTGTTCTCTGAAAATGAGTAAGAAAATGCTGTGAGTTCTGGCGTTTGGGGAAATACCATCAGAAGTATATCCTGAAGATATATTAGGACTTAGGTAAATGGAGGTAGGAAGGTCAGAGACTCCAAGGAGAATTGGCGTGAACTAAAGGGGGCAGTTTTGGAAGTAATATGGCAGTGCTTGGGGGAAATGATAAAGAGACTAAGGGGAAAGGAGGAGAAAGGTCATGTCTGTGAACTGTTAGATGGTAAGATTGGTGAAATGAATTTGGACCAAAAGTGGAGAACTTAGAATGACAAGCTAAGTATTTTGGACTTTATCCTGAAAGTGATGTGAGGAGGACTTTGGGAAGATTTTGAGTGGGAATGTGACAGGCAAACAGTTAAGGAAGACAGATAATGGAGAGACACTGGAGGGAGTCTGGGTGGGAAGTGATGAGCACCTGGACTAGGGCAGTGGCCTTGGGAGTCAGAGACTGCGCATGAATAGTATCACAGCCGTAGAAGTACCCCTTCCTCCTTCGTGTGTGCACTTTTTTAATCCACTTGTTTATTCAACTAACCAACCGACAAATGTTTATTGAATACCTAAGATCTGCTAAGGCCGTGTAGGTACAAAGACAGCAAATCTCACTGCCTGGCCAACAAGGTGTTGAGGGACTGAATGTGGCTGCTGAGTGAGGATAAGTCAGGGGCACAGTGGTCAGCCTGGATGACAGAGAGAATGATAACCCATGAGACAAAAGTTGTCAGCTTTCTCCTGTGTGATGATTTGTGCTGCTTTGTATAGTATAACCTGGTGACTATCAAGGTAAGCAGAAACCTTGATTTTTTTATATACTGTACATGTTCCCCTCCCCATGTAATTTTTTTAGGGCATTAAGACTGAAATTCTAAGAATCAGACATTTCTGTTTCATTTATATTTAGGGAAATGAAGAAGAAAAAGCTTCCAAGTGACCCAGGGGATTTAGAAGTGATAGAGGGAAAAGACAAAGAAAAAGAAAATGCCCTACACATTGAAACTCATCAGAACACAAGCAAAAATGTCCCAACTGTTCAGCCAATGAAGCGAGGACAAAAGGTAATAAAACTTTGGGGTGAACTGTTAATGACAGTACTATATGGTTCACAAATGAAGTTGTGAGGTTCCGCTTAAATTTTTATCAAGTTTTCAGTGAAACAGAAGATATAGGCAAGATTTCCTTTGACTGAAAATTAGTTGAAAAGATTCACTGTGGGGAACACAGAGTTCACTGTTCTGTGTTCCTTTGAGATCATCTAGAGAGAAGCTCAGAGGAATAGGAGACTGTGATTGCCAGAGACACTTGGCCAGTAAGTGGCCGTGCTGGTCCTTATTGATAATTTGACTCAGTAGTTTCTTTTTCAATTATTAATGTGATTTTGGTTAGAGTTCTTATATATTTTATCAAAGATGTTTGGTGAAGGAAGAGGTAGTGGATCTAGAATATGTATATTTTAAAATGTTGTAGAAGTGTGAAAGAGAGGATTGTGAGCTAATGTAGCAGTGTATCTTCATAAAAGTTAAATTCCTCTGAAATCTTAACAGAAGTCATGTTTTAAGATCTTTCTTCCATCAATAGTGATCACAATTTCCTGTGTTTTTCCAGTGGGTCTCAAATAAATGGACATACTACAGATATGGAAGGGAAGAACATGAGTTCTCCCCATAATAATATGTAAATTCAACATGACTTTAATCAGAATTGAGACTTTAACTTGATAAAGTAATTCTAAAGTTCATTTGAAAGAGTAAATACTAGAGAATAGCTAAGGAAATCTTGGAAAAGAAGATTGAGGGGGATTTCCCTACTAGTAGTAAAACATTTAATGTTAGAATTGTTAAATTAGTATGGTTTTGGGGCCAGCCCCATGGCCGAGTGGTTAAGTTCACGCTCTCCGCTTCGGCACCCCAGGGTTTCGCCGGTTCGGATCCTGGGTGTGGACATGGCACTGCTCATCAGGCCACATTGAGGCGGCGTCCCACATGCTACAACTAGAAGGACCCATAACTAAAATATACCACTATGTACTGGCGGGATTTTGGGAGAAAAAGTAGAAAAAATAAATAAATAAAATAGTATGATTTTAACATAGGGATAGCCAGTTAGAAAAATGAAACAGAATAAAATCTAGACAAAGGACCATTAACTGTATATTTAAAAATTTTGTATGTTACACATTGTTTGGGAAAGTATGAATTATTCAAAATTAGTGACTAGTCATGTTAAAAAATACTAAATTCCAGATGGAGAAAAGAACTATCAATAAAATTGAAAGACAAATGGCAAATGTGGAAAAAACAAAAGTGATGAAAGAAATGCTTCTGTAAACAAGGGGAATTTTTCATCAATTGGATTAATAGATAATGTGTGTTCAATCATTCAGTAAGTGTTTGAGTCTACACCATGGGAATCCCCATCAAGAGTCCTAACAGTGCATTTACCCTTTCACTAAGCAATTCCACATCTGGGAATTTATCCTAAAAGACATCATGTGTGTGCAGTAAGGATATTCATCAAGTTGATATTTATAATAGCAAAAAAACTGAAAATTATCTTAAATGTCCAACAATATGATGTAACAATAAATAATATGGTGCATTTATACAATGAAACATTCAGCAGACAATTTAAGTTCTAAGGCAAATCCTCATGGAATTTTTATTAAAATACATTGAATTTTTAGATTATTCTGTGGAGAACTGTCATCTTTACCACATTGCATCTTCCTGTCCATGAATGTAAGAATATTTTACATTCTTCAGTAAAGATATGTTTTCCCGTAGAGTCTTAGCCATCTTATCTATTCCTACTTAAAATTTTTCTTACATTTTGTAAATGGTATATTTTTAAAACTTTCACTTCCTGCTTATTAGTTGCTGGTATGTGGGAAGACAATTTCCATATATTGATCTAGTATACGCAGTCTCCTTTTTTTTGAGGAAGATTAGCCCTGAGCTAATATGTGTTGTCAATTTTCCTCTTTTTGCTGAGGAAGACTGGCCCTGAGCTAACATCTTTGCCCATCTTCCTCCACTTTATATGTGGGACGCCTGCCACAGCATGGGTTGATAAGCAGTGCGTAGGTCCACACCTGGGATCCAAACTGGCAAACCCTGGCCCGATGGAGCAGAGTGAGTGAACTTAAGCACTGTGCCAACAGGCCAGCCTGTAATAGGCAATCTTATTGAATATTTATTTTAATATTCATCTATAGGCAGTCATATTGCCTGCAAATAATAGCTTTTCTTTCTTCTAATCCTAATATCTGTTATTTTTCTCATGTTTTTTTGCACTGGCTCAAACATCAGTACTGTGTTGCATGGAAGTAATAATGGTGTACATCTTTGTTAATTACATCAAAGGAACTATTTCTAAGATTTTTATCATTATGAGATGTTTCCTGTGGGTTGTTGGTAGATATCCTTTCTGAAGGGTTATCTTTAATAATGATGAGTTAAATTATATTGAAAGCTTTTTCTGCATCTATTATTTTTCTCCCTTAATCAGTTAATGTGGTAAATTACTTGAGAAAATCTATCAAACTGGCCTGTAATCCTTCATACTGCCCTTGCCTGGTTTTGGTGTCTAGGTTACACCTGCTTCACAAAATAAGTTTGGAACTTTCCCCTTTTTCTGTTCTCTAGAACTTTGTATAAAATGAAGATTGTCCCTTGGAATTTGATAGCATTTGCTAAGAAAACTGAGCCTGATATCTTGGTTTTTGTGGGTAGGTTTTTAAGTACTAATTAAATTTCTTCAGCAATTATAAGCCCATTCAGGTTTTCTGTTTTATTGAAGTTGGCTTTCCTAAGTTATATTTTCCAAGAAACTGTTCTTTTCATTGAGTTTTCCATTTCTTGGTTCAATTTATTATTAGTAGTGTTCATTTTACTCTGAATATTTTTTTCAGGTATAATGTACATATAGTAAAATGCACAAATCTTACATGTTTATGTGCACACATGCCTGTAAAACCACCACCCAGATCAGGACACTCAGACCCTTCCAGTACTCCACAAGGCTCACTCTTGCCCCTTTCTAAATAGTATCTCCACGAGAAAAAAACATTATTCTGACTTTAATCACTGTAGATTATTTTGCCTGTTCTTGAACTTTATATAAAAGTAATCATATGGTGTATATACTCTTTTGTCTGGCATCTTTCACTCAGCATTGTGTGCAAGTCACCCATGTTGTTGTGTGTAGCAGTAGTTCATTTGCGTGGTTAAATAGCATTCCATTGTATGACTCTGCCACAATTGATCTGTCTGCTGTATTGTCGGTAGACGGTCTCAGACCTGTCGTTTAGGTCCACAAGTATGTGTTCCTGTCGTGTATAAGTAGGAGTGGAATTGCTGGGTTAGAGCGGACCTGTTGTGTTTGGCGTTAGTAGATAGTTCCAAGCAGTTTTCCGTGGTACTTGTACTAACTTCCCACCGAGCAGTGGATCAAGGTTCTAGTTGTTCCTCATCCTAACATTTCGTGTTGTCAGGGTTTAGTCATTCAATTGTGTAGATACTGAAGTCTTATTTGGCTTTAATTTGCATGTCCCTGATGACTAATGATATTGAGCACTTTTTCATGTTTATTAGACCTTTGAATATCCTCTTCGTGAAGCGCCCATTTTAAAAACTGAGTTGTGCAGCTTTCCCATTGATGTATAGGAGTTATTTGAAATCCTGAATACAAGTCTTTTCTTGGATATATGTATTACAAATACTTTTCACATCTTAAGCCCTGCTTTTCTCACTTTTGTAATAGTGTATTTTAATGAGCAGCACTTGTTCATTTTAATGAAGTCTGATTTATCAATCTTGTCTTTAATAGTGTCTCTTTGTGTCCTATTTAAAGAAGTCTTTAAAAGTTTAGAAATTTGTCATCTGGGCCCCAGCTAAGACTAATCAGGACATAAATCTTTGGAGGTGAGGCCCAGATGTCTGTAGTTTTAAAAACGACTAGGGTGATTTGGGTGTGTAGCCAGGGTTTGGTTGATAAATTCAAAGTCTTACCAGCCTCTGCAGTAAGCACCCAGCTTAGCTTTGCTGCTTTGTTTCCTGTTCCCCCTCTGCATGCAAATCTCGACTTCACCAAATGTGATGACTTGCTGTAGCTATTCTGTCTTGTCTTTACCTCATATAACCTTGCTTTTCCTAGATTCCCAGATACTATACAAGTTACTTCTTTGAAGATTAACTTTTAAGTTTCGCTTTATTTCTTCCCCACAGTTCTTGTTCAAGGTGAAAGAAATGTCTTTCTCTAAATTATCTTAGAAATAATTTGTTTGCGTTTAGAATATGTTGCATTAATTTATCCTTACTCTTGTATGTGTCGTCTTTTTCCACCAGATGATAAAATTCCTTGAGGCTGAGGACCATGTTTATCCATCTTTTTAGCCTCCATTGTTTATTATAATGGCACCTCGCTCAATAAGCATTTTTGACAGAATTAAAACACCTTTTCTTTACAAATATTTGTTAAAATTTTTTTACTGCTGAATTCTTCCAACCAAAATCTTTTGACATTTGTAGAGTAAGATGAAAAAAATGAAGGAAAAATACAAAGACCAAGATGAAGAAGAACGTGAACTCATCATGAAATTGCTGGGGGTAAGTAACATCTAAAACGTTTTCTTCTTTTGCTTTACAAGGAACATCCAAACCACTGCCTGTCACATGCAAGGCATTCAATACATTTTTGTTAAAATAGTGACAATATGGACAACATTAACTTTTTTCCTCTATGCCTTAAAGTCTGCGGGTTCAAACAAAGAAGAAAAAGGGAAGAAGGGGAAGAAAGGAAAAACAAAGGATGAACCAGTGAAGAAACAGCCCCAGAAACCTAGAAGTGGACCACGGGTTTCAGACAGCATAAAGAAAGAAACTCCATCCCTTGCAGTTGTAACTCATGAGTTACAAGACTTGGCTGTAGATGATCCACATGATGACAAGGTATGGCTACCACTCATGTGGGCTTTTTGCTTCTTAATTAGGGGGACGAACCATCCCAGGGGTCCCAGGGCATGGGACTTAGAGTGCTAAAACCAGGATGAATAGTAACCCTATTTTTAATGGGAAGTCATCTTAGAAATACACCTTAAAAGACTAGAATTGCAGTATATGACCATAAAAATGGTGGTGTTGCTAGCTGATAAAAAGTTTATCACAGGGGCTGGCCTGGTAGTGCAGCAGTTAAGTCCACACGTTCCGCTTCGTAGGCTCGGGCTTCACCGGTTCAGATCTTGGGTGCAGACCTACGCACCGCTTGTCAAGCCATGCTGTGGCAGGCATCCCACATATAAAGTAGAGGAAGATGAGCACGGATGTTAGCTCAGGGCCAGTCTTCCTCAACAAAAAGAGGAAAATTGACAACAGATATTATTAGCTCAGGGCTAATCTTCCTCAAAATCAAAAAAAAGTTTATCGCAAGCCTTTAGAAAATAATCAATTTTATGGAGAGGTTTTATTTGATTCTGGTGGGAACTGACTTTGCTAAAATAAGACAGATAATTGAGATTGTCTTGAAAATGAGAGGAAAATAAATCTGCACTTCTCTGGGTTTTTCTATAGTAGTATATGCTATATTATCTTGCATAATGTTGAAAGTGGCTACTCAGTTAAAGTGCCAGCTGCCCTGGTTGCAAAACCAATGAGAAGTTAACATTTTTTCCAGTTAAGATGGTTGCCTGATTGTTCTATCAACTGAATACAACAAGCCCAGCCTTAAGTATATCTTCTTGTAGGAATATATACATCTTCTTGAAATTCTGAGCAAAAGATTGTTTTATAAATTTGTAGAATATCTTTGATTGAGCCTGTGTTTTGATTTATGACAGTTAAAGCTTTGGTTGTAATGGCATGCCCTGTTCGATGCAGGTGATGCTTATAGGGATTCTAAATGTATTACTGTTTTCTTTTTTTTCTGCTGAACAGTGTTGTTTGTTAATATTAAAATTCATTTTGGTCTTCAAATTTTTACACTATTATTATATTGCTAATTTATTCCATAAACCCTAGACTCATAAATATTCATTAGAGGTGTTAATTCTGAACATGCTTTCACAGGTTATCTCCACATAGATTTTTTAATGTGAGTAAAGCAAACAATATTAAGCTTGTCTTAATATGTGAAGAATTTATCCTAGAACTGTTGAACAGAGACTGAAAAGTAAAAGTTCTGTTCACCAGGATTCTCCGTTTCCTTTCCCCCTGGCAAATATATCAAGCTTAGTTGCCATTTAAATTGTCCTTAGAACATTCACTGCTTTAGCATGTGCTCTCTGCGAAAGTCTTGTCTTTTTTAAACTTCAGAGAATAGTCCTTTTTCTCTGAGAATGGCATTGTTTTCTGAAATATTAAGACACAAATCAGTTGACTGAGAGTCTCAGAGTCCTTCTCCTGTGGGTTAGATGTAACAGTCTCGTTACATCACTGTTTCTTTCTCCTCGTAGTTTTAATGGTGTGGAATTTCAATTTAAGTTGTAGCTGACTTAAAATTTTCTGTTTGGAGCAGGAAGAGCAAGACCTGGATCAACAGGGAAATGAGGTATGACACTGTATTGGGCTCCCACTGTGGCACTCTGACTGCAGTCAAGTCTCCAGAGTATTTGACACACAACTTCTAACTGATTAAAACTTAAAAGGCTAAGATAAGACTCCAAGCTCCAGAGTCTAACATTCTGGGTGTGGATCACAACTTTGCTAGATATAACTACAACCTTGGAAACATTGATCTTTGTGCCTCAGTTTCCTCATCTGAACAGTGGGGGTAGTAATTGTCCTACCAGGAGAGAGCTGTTTTGAGAGCTAGGTTAAGATATGTAAAGCATTTAGACAAGTTCATGGTGCATAGTAAACACTCTACTTCAGCACCAAGCATTTTGTCCTGAATCTCAATTTCCTCAAATTGTTAAATAAATATAGGCAATCTTGTTGGCAGCCCACCAAATGGGAACTCTAAGAAGCCCAAGGATTTCTCCTTAAGAACAGGCAAGAGACAGCTGTTGTAGCCTAGAATTTCTCAACTTCGGCACTATTAACATTTTGGGACAGATAATTCTTTGTTGAGGGGAGCTGTCCCATCCCTGGCCTCCACCCACTAGAGGCCAGTAGCCCTCTATTCCCTACCTCCACAAGTTGTGACAACCAGACATCACTGCCCAGTGTTGGGGGCAAAATCCGCCTGATCGAGAACCAATGGTCTAGCCAAAGTATCAGTCCCATTTCCATGCAGTGGATGTAAATCTCTTTGTTGTCATTATTGTGCATCATTTTAATCCACAGTAGTTTTCTCCAACTCGAGTAATATCCAACATGTTATTTCTCCCTTAAATTTATCTCCAGTATCATTTTGAAAATCGTTCTCATTTCTCACTATGCCAGGCAAAAATTACTGGTAGTGAAGATTGTGTCTTTAAACACAATTGGTCTTAAACTCTCTTTGGAGCTGTAAAGCAGAGTTAAGACTGTATGTCTATCAGCAAAGGATAAAAGTTAAGTTGAGATATTAATATGATAGTGTTTTAGAGTTTTGGTTTTTTTTAGGACTGGTATAAATGACTTTTCTAATGGTTTTTCTCTTCCCTTTTTAGGAAAATCTGTTTGACTCTTTGACAGGACAGCCACATCCTGAAGATGTTCTACTGTTTGCCGTTCCGATATGTGCCCCTTATGCCACCATGACGAACTATAAGTAAGTCATCATTAGTTTACTCAAAGCAGCTGACACAACAGCAACTTATGAATTGTTTTATCGTCTCTATTTAGTAACACATGCAAATCTTTTTTTAAAGATACAAAGTGAAACTTACTCCTGGAGTTCAGAAAAAGGGAAAAGGTATTTAAAATCTTTTCTGAATTATTATTTTAAACATTTCTTGACTGAATAGAAGTAGATCTTTTTATTTTTCTATTTACAGCTGCAAAAACAGCCTTGAACAGTTTCATGCATTCCAAAGAAGCAACGGCAAGAGAAAAAGACTTATTCCGCAGCGTAAAGGTAAAGTATTCCTCCAGAACTCTTTGGAGATTGGTGGTGCAATTAAAAATCTTAGCAGTTACAATTTTCTGTTTTTTTTTCTGCTTTATGTAGTAAATGGAAGCTCTAGGTATTGTTTGGTTGTCTTATTAGAAGCAGTATAAAATAAGTAAAATCATTTCAGGTAATTTTGGAAATGCCTTTCTTTTGACAGCAGAGGATACATAATTATCATAAAAGAAATATGATTGACCACATAGAATGTGAAGATATTCAGCAATTCTCTTTTTTTAGGACACGGATTTATCAAGAAACATTCCTGGCAAAGTGAAAGTGTCTGCACCCAACCTTCTGAATGTAAAAAGGAAATAGCTGGAATGAAATCCTAAAATATTTGCGAAGAGCCAATTTTATAGCCTTTTGGAAGTCCAGAGATGAAAACACCACGTAACAAGACTTCCGTATTTAAAAATGAACTAAACATTGCCTTGCTATATTCGCCAAAAGAACTTATTGTTTTTTTTCCAGTTTTATAGAGAGGAAACACTATGATGGGATTTCCTAAAATATTTGTGGACAGTTAAATGCTAATTGTATACATTTATAGTTACTCTACATTTTCTTGGAATTTGGGAGGTTAATATTAATTATTCATTTCATGTTGTAAGGAAACGGAACAGTGAAGTGGCTCCATTGCTTAGACTGCTGACTTGGGAGTCTACTGTATAGACCATCTAATGTATCTGTTACTCCCAGGACAATCACAGGGGTTTTTTTCTGGTGGTGGTGGGGGTTGAGCATGGTTAAACATTTAGAATTAGGTCTTGAAAACCCTAACTACTGAAGGAATAAATTTCCTTCCACCTTTACTGACACTTGTCAAAAAATATATTAGACCAGATTTAAAATACAGATAATTCCCATAACTCAACTTAAATAACACCTAGAAGAAATTGGTGTTGATCACTTCCATGCACTTATACACCTTCACTTTTCATCTTACTTTCTTCTTTCCACCTCTAGTAATTATCACTAGCATGTTACTTAATATCTTAACCTGTAATATCAGAAGTGCACTTGTAGGTTTATCACTAACGACTCCTGACCCAGCTTTTTTCTTCTGTCTCCTAACAGAATGGAGAATAAAGTCATACGTTATTTCCATTCTTTTATGAGCCACAAAACTGTTACTTTTTAAATTAGACAACAGCTGCCGATAGTCAATACGACCACTTGCCCCAGCCCCTATACCAAAGCATTAAGGTCAAAGTACTAAGTAGCTGTTGGTCCTTCCAAAATTTCTTTTATTAGCTTAGTGCTGAGAATATTTTTCCATTTGAGATTAATGTAAAAAAAAAAACACAACTTTATAATTATGTAGCCTAGTGTCGTAAATACAACATAATAGACTACTCTTGCCATTTAAAAAAAATCTAAAATATTAATGTTTTTTAAAAGAACTTCACCATTTTTATAGTGGTGAGAATAATTAGTATAATGTTTCTACAGATATATATCCTAAAGTTACCAAAAAAGGACTTATAATACCATTCCTCGGGGTAAAAAGCCCAAGTATCATTTTTCTTTTGCTTTATCACAAGACAGTCACTGGTGTTAAATACATTTATTGTAAACTTTAGACACAAAAATAGGTTCTCTAGCCATTCACATGCACATTAAAACCAAAAAGCTGTAAACTACAACAATGCATATAATTATACAAACGATGCCACTCTCTGGTGTTTACAGAATTGCTGTCCATGCAAGTGATGAGAGGCATTCTCTATGAAGCCTTAAGATCCACAAGTGTTGTTACTACCAAACCTCTGGTTAACACTGTGAAGTAAGTGTTTTGGAAGGCAGTTCCAAGAGTTGGCTAACATTTCTTTAAAGCAAATGACGGCTTCTAAACTTAGCCTGAAAGTGGACAAGGAAAGAGAGAAATAATTTCACTTGACTGTTTAGAAGTACATTCACTTGACAAACTACCAAAAAAACCCCACCCACTTTCTTTAAAGATTTCCATAGGAATTAGTTAGTTGTATCAATGAAGGTTGGTTATTGCCCTTAAATTATCCACAAACCTGGTTTTTCAAGAGCACTAATTTAAAGTGTTAAGAAACAATTTAAAATAATCCCTAAGGACCAAGTGAAAAGTCACTTACCTTACAAGAGATTTTGGTTGAACTGAAAATATAAGTATTTCATTACTGTGTGCCTGAAAAATAGACATGAAGAACACATTAAAAAGCAAGTACTTCACAGATAAGTTTCAGCAACATTAGAAAGTCTCCTTTACCATAGGGTAGTATACTTACAGCTCTGTGATGGACAAGAAGGTTATTGGCACACCCGCCAAAAACAATTACTTCTCCTTCATCACTGGCACAAGCTGTATGCCATAATCTATATTGAAAACAAAAGTCCTAGTTTGAAGTCACCCAAAACACCAAATTGGTAGTTTACACCGCAGAATAGAGCTGATGAAATAAAAGCTAAAGATCTTAGTTCAGACCAAAACATCATGGTGAGAAGCAATTATCTTAAGGAAAAGTAGCAAAAGCTAGAATTTTATCTGGATGTTATTTTTTCTCTCTCTGGTCCAGTCCTAATGTATGCAACAAGGGGTTTGAACTGAATGATCTGTTCTCTAGGTCTTTGTTAGCAATAAAAACCTTCCAGGAGATGAACAGTATATGCCCTCCCTTCTTTCTCTTTTCATAGGTAGGGCCAGTTGGCCTTAGATAAAACATCTGAAGGATGCTGAAACTGGCTGAATACACTGAAGGTCTCTGAAGGCCTGGAAATTCTATGGAAAGACTATTTATGTCAAATGAAGTCTCAGTGGCATGGCTATACTTAGGTTAGAGGCTTGGGAAAAAATGCAAGCTGACATATCTGAATGTGTTTTGAACACCAACTCTGACCATTTCATTTCCTTTAGCAGTCTTCATAACAATTCTTTTTGCGAGTAATAAGAAAAATAACTGTCAGTGTTTAATAGGCTCTTTTTTTGGATGATATGACTTCTTAATCTTTGTTATACAGCACTATTGCACATCTAATTGAAAGTTTCTGATTTTTTTCCCTCCATTTACATTCTTTAAGGTTTTGAAATTCTCTCCTTTCCAGTTCTTTTTTTTTTAAATGACAAACCTAGATGCAGTGCAACTCAGTTGAATAAAGAGCTTATAAACTGTATCAATTTTATGATGAAGGAAGACACAAAAATCAAAATCCAGCCCTATTTTTCATAAACAGATGATGGAAGAGAAAGCATTTGATACTAGGATAACATTTGTTTTCTTTCAAAAGGTATGATGTTAAACCTTAGTGAATGCTAGGATTTTTGAAAGAATGATGGATTTAATGCAGCCAAAATTTCCTAAATCAGTACCAGTCTTGTACATCTCTATGGAGCTCATTAATTCAATATAAAAAATTATCGTTTAAATACTTCATACCTTGGTTTTTCAGTATAGGGATGATTAAACTGTATCCATTCATTTTTACTGATGCAGTAAGTCCAGGCATCACCTAATTGAAGCAAATAAAAAAGAGCTATGAAGCATGTTATTCTGTCAATGTGACATTGATATTTAAAGGGTACAGCTTTAGCAAGAAAGGTAATCAGATTGTGAATAGAGACAGAAAGTGTATTCCCTTCTTTTTTTTCTCTGCAATTAACCAAGTAAATCTTGCATATTACAGCCCTTCAGCAGGGCTTTGACTTGCTCCAGGTCATTTCTTTACTGGACAGAATGGATGTATGTCGTAATATAAAAACAATTATAGGTATGTTATAGGATCAAAATTAATAGCAAACTTCCAACCAGCCCTACAGCCCTCTGATACATCTGAAATAGACTGATTTTTTTCAGCTATTTATATATATGAATGATATATAATGGTTTCTCATAGTTTTAAAGGACTTACTTAGTGGCTGTTTATCAGTGGTAAATCCTCCAAAGAGAAAGAGATGATCTGAAGAAACTGGTGTGAGTGAGTGCCAAGACCGGCCAACTGGACATATGCCTTGCGGAATTCTGAAAATAAGAGCTAAGTTACAATAATCTCTGTCTAAAAGCAGCTACTGTATTTAATGCAGAGAAATACTGAAGTTTTTTAAAAAAATTATATGGAATTATTAAAAAAGACTTTACATTTAAAAAGGCTTCTTAGTATTAACAAATACATGTTTCAGAAGGAGTTATTTCCTTTGAAAGTGGAGTCAACTTTAGACCTTTTCTTTTCAGCAAAGAGTGAGCACATGCTATCTGCCAAGCAACACAATTATGGCAACAGAGAATGGAAATAAAAGATAAAAGTCCTTCTTTAAGGATCTAGTCATCATATTTATTTAAATTCACAGTTAGAGAAAATTTAGGCAAGTACATTATATACTAATAGTAGAAAATAAGGGGAAAAACAAAATTTTTTGAAAAACTTTTCTAAATAATTATCTAAAGCGATACCTACAATTCATTCCACTCCCATGTATCCAGATTAAGATAGTGAAGGTCATTCATTCTAGCATCCTGAAAAGGATAATGAAGTAGTTATCATTTTGAATAATTCAAGAACAAGTCACTGAAACTATGTATATACCCACTCGATATCTGCCTCCAAACACAAAGCCTTTGTTTCCAACAGTTGCACAGGCGTGGGCCGCACGAGGTGAAGGTGCTTTACCCTGTTAAGGGCATAAGAGCAATTTAATAAGTAAGTGAACTTTCTATAAATCCCAGAAGGAGTCTTCCCTAGATGTGGGATAAGAATATGCGAGCCACTTGAGCTTTTAAGCTGAAGTGCAGACTTGTGGTCAGCAGCAGTGCTTAAGGCTGACTACCAAAACTGGGAATTTATATTTTTGAGATGTGTTACTGAATGAGCTAGTTAATATAATACAATGCTTGCTTTATTTTTATCTTTTAAAATAAAAGCTAGCACATTATATGACATCAGTGTCAGAGGAAAAAGAAACCCAGTATTTGAGTAACTTAAGTTTTAGTGCTAGGTCATTTTTACAGACAATCCCACTTAACATCTATGAGATAATAGCTGCTGAGTTAGTCTTTACATTCATTAAACTTTTCTGAGTTCTAGACTCCTTGGAGAATAATGAAAGCTATGGATCTTCTCTTTCCATCATTTACACCCCGCCCCCAACCCCTTCTCTAAGTCGCCTTGCTCCCATAATTCATTACTCTTCATTAACTCACAGTAGTGAGAGGCTGGCTCCAGATAAATGTTTCAGTGTCTAAAATATGTACATGATCATTCCATCCTCTTGGATGACTTGAATTCTATAAAAAGTAAATAAGAAGAATCTGAGTTATTTTACAAATAATGTTTGGAAAATTAGATAGCCTTTGATTTATTAACAAGGCAAAATGGACAAAACTACTAGCAAACAAAATGTATTATTTCAACATACTAAATAGGACATGTGCAAATATGAAACTTCACTTACCCAAAAAGATGTTTCATCAAATTCAAAAGTTCCCAATACTTTATCTTCAGGTAAATATCCATACCCTCCAAAAAATATTAACCTGTTTGATAAAAAACCAAGACACTAAAAATTCAGACAACCACAAGTTAGGATACAAGAGATTTTTCTTATTTTGTCCTGTGCTATAAGTTGAAAAGGCACACTTGAGTATATGAAAATACTTCTTCACATAATAATGGCTCATATGCTAACAATTACATCTTAGGTACTATGTTCAGTGCTTTGATGTGTGAATTCATTTAATCCTCATATGGGCCCTAGAAGGTATGTTCTGTGTTGACAATGGTTATTGGCTGAGGAGACTTGAATGGCAAACCACTTTCCAAATAAAAGCCCAAACCTATAGTGCTGCTAACTCACTTGTTTTTATAGACCCAGACACCAAGTTTGTCCTTTGACGATGGAGGAATTCCTTGGCAATCAATTCTTTCCCACTGTAATACTCTGTCTGTAGACCTTGAATCCAGCATGTAGAACTGTCAGAAGCAATGATTTCAGTTAGATTTGGTTATGTGAAAGAAATTCAACGTTGGCATTTAATTTTACTGTGATTTATGATGATAAGAATGTCATCTAGGGGCCGGCCCCGTGGCTAAGTGGTTAGGTCTGCTCGCTGCTCTTCAGGGGCCCAGGGTTTCGCAGGTTGGAATCCTGGGCGTGGACATGGCACCACGCTCATCGGGCCATGCCGGGGTGGCATCCCACATGCCACAACTAGAAGGACTCACAACTAAAAATACACAGCTGTGTACTGGGGGGCTTTGGGGAGAAAAAGAAAAAATAAAATCTTTAAAAAAAAAAAAGAATGTCATCTAATTCAGTGCTACTAAGAGTGTGACTGCACACTGGCTGCCAGTCTGCAAACTAGTGCCAGCCTCAGTCTAGAGAAGGAACTGGTGCCAGAATGTAAGTTACTCAAGTCACCAAGCACCCTGTTTAGTTCAGCTTACTGTTTTTCCATAGCCACACTGTGTTGATGGAGGAACAGAGGTGTGTTGATTCACATTCTGTGCCTTAGAGAGGCACCTAGAGTCGTAATGATCTAATTTATAGTTATCGGGATGGTATTACCAAAAAACTCAGACTTAGCAATTTCACCTTCAAACTCAATTTAACAAACGTCTTAAGTGCCTACTTAACTCTAGGAGCTAAGGATAAATCTTAAAAGATTAAGTGTTGGTCTAACTTCAAAAGAGTGCACATCCGGTACCTGAATAAATCTGACCAGCATATGTATTTTCTTACTTCTCTTAAGACTCCTAAGCTTCCTTTCAGTCAAACTTAAAATACTCAAGCCTAGCCATGTGACGTACTAACTACTTCCTAAGGCCACAGCTCCTCTTTCTCCCAAACTTCCTCATGTTGTGTCAAAGCTATCTTTCTCCCCCTGGGCCCTGAAAAATATGTGGCTCAACCACAGCCTACAGCAGTGCCTCAAAAAACCTTAAACCCTAATGTATAAAAACAAAAGTGGAGCTACACTTGTTAACATGGAGGAGGAAAGGGTGGTCTGGAGCCTGCCCAACACATTCTGCTCCCCAACAGATGTCCCAGGGCATCTCACAGAAATGCCTCAAGTTCCTAGGGGCACAGTTTGAAGCCATCTCAGCCATATGCTCCATTTACACCAAACCACCTGGCATTTCCATGAACAAGATGTATTTGCTTATACCTCTGCATCTTGATACCTGTATCCTTGCTACCTCTTCCAGTTGTATGATTCAGTTCAAGCATCACCTCTTGGGTGAAGACTTTCCTTTTTCTGTTCATCTATCCTATCAAACAGAATGTCAAGGATTCTTTTTCAGATTCAGCAATATCTACTGAGCTATTACTATGAGCCAGGCTCTGTGTATCTCCATATGTTACTGAATCCATTAGTAATTATATGTGTTCCTTCTAGAATGTGAACTAGAGGCGGGGACTGTGTCCTTCATCTCTGTCTCCAATGTCTAACCAAATGCTCAGCATATAAGGTGCTTACTAAGTTGCCCAATAACTGAATTTATAAGAGCCTACCTCTATCATATGCACCTTTCTGACTGACTGCCTCTGTCTCTTACTGGCCTGAGAGAACAACTAATATCTTTTTCCTATCTGGAAAAAATACAGACAAAGTCTGAACAATGGTACTTATGGCGCCATATTACAGGAATATTAGTATATAATATTTAGTCGGTGTTAATTTATCCTTATGGCTTTCTGAGTGGTGGTCTGTTAATTTCTACCATCACCCCCATTTAGTTTACTAATACTCATCTAACACTGCAGGGTTCAAAGAGAACAAGTAGCTGCAAAGAGCACAAAGAAAAACAACCTAGGAAGTTTACTGCACACAGGTTACCAACCAAAACTGATTTTACAAAAGGCCTAGGTAAATAAAGACTGGTAGACAAAATTTACTAAAACGCACATTCATACCATAATCAAGTACATATATCTTTTAACTGAGACAGGAGTCAGTATGGGCTAACCTTAGAAATCTGAAGTTGTCTAAAAAAGAATAAAACTGCCTGACCCATAACCCTTACAAGCACAGACCTTATTCGT